CCCCCCCCCCTTTTATCTGGACTTTCCCCCCACATATATAGTTCCTTTCCCTTTTATCCAATGGTTTTTGACCGGCGTGCTTTCTGTCATGGGCGGCTTTCCAGCCATGCCCCATGACCCCTTGGGCGCGCCCTGTGGCATCCTAGCAAGCCTCCCAATACCTAGCGCCACGGACAGCCCCGTGGTCTTGGCCGCGCCCAATGACAAGCGTGCAGTTGCCTCTGTCGCCCCACTGATATCCCTTGCCAGCGCCTAGCCGCAGGCAGATGCCAACAGCGCCACATGCACAGACAATGTCGCGCGCACCGACCATGATGCCAAAGACGCTGCTGCTGACAACGAACATATTTCTGCCTTGTAGGAAAGTAAGTCCTTTTCATTGTAAATATAGAGTAGTTTTATTTCATGTACTTCCATTATGTTTCTCTAGCTTAGTCAAATCTAGTCGTGTAGCTTTGGTTATTTTTTTAAGCATTATTAAGAGGGATCAAGCAATCAAACTTTCTAACAAACAAACAATTCTCTATACTGGTGTCTCTCTCCCTCGACACTGCGTTGTTTTTCTATAATAGCTTTCATTAATGCAATCAAGCTTTATTTCATTCTTAGTTCTCATTTTTGTTTTCTCAATTGCTCTTGACATTGGTTTTCCCGTACGACACTGACAATCTAGTCTAGCGTAAGGAGGGGACCTCAGTTGGCAGACAGTAATTGCACTGACAACAGTTGCTTAGCCTTACGTCGCCCTTCCAAGGAATCTTAGGAAGGCACCACATAACAGTTGGTATCAGAACCTAGGCTCGATATCGAACGAGGGAACGCATTGCCATTACCACCATTTCTGACCATAGTGAATCATGGGGACTGCATTGCAGCCCTTGAACAGACGGTTGACAGATTATAGCCTATCATGGATACGGTGCCTGAACTAAGAACCAGCCTAGGGAAAAGGTTGGATGACCTGGACCGCAGGGTGCTCCAAGCCGAAGTTGACATAGAAAACATCAGTCACGACTCCGAGGGAGACCGACAAATGGCAGCCACAGAGGCAGCCGAAATTTTTGGCAAATTCGAGGGACTCCAACAAGCGCGTGCCAAGGATTTAGCTTACAGGGCACAGGAGGCAGACAGGGTGACTGCCATACAACAAACTATTGACGACTTGACGGACAAGCTCAATGTTGTCAATGCTGCTTTACAGGACCTGCTTCGAGGCGGTGGAAACTAAATCGGGGGCGCTGTGAACCTCGCTTCCACGACACAAAAACTAAAAATTCCTGAGCCAAAGCCATACGGTGGAGATAGGAATGCCAAGGAAGTGAAGAACTTCATCTTTGGCGTCGAACAGTATTTCAATATTGTTGGGGGCCTAGAAGAAGCTAAAAAGGTAGCAACTAATGCCATGTATCTTCAGGGTGATGCTAAACTCTGGTGGCGGGTGAAGTACGAAGCCATCAGGGCCGGCGAAGATGCTCTCAAGACATGGGCAGAATTGAAGGCAGCCATACGCCTACAGTTCTTCCCCGAAAATGTTGAATACAATGCAAGGAGAAAACTACGGGAGCTCCGCCATACCAAATCAGTGCGGGAATTCTCCGCGCTCATGCTAAGCATACGCGACATGGGGGGACAAAGACAATCTCTTCACCTTCTTGGAAGGGTTGAAACCTTATGCCCGTGTGGAGCTACAAAGACAAAGGGTAGATACCCTGCCCAAGGCAATCCAAGCAGCGGAATGCCTTGGGGACTATCAAATGGAAGCTCGGAAGGATAGGCCTCAACCGCCTGCCCGAGCGGGATTCAGGGGGCCAGCCTAGCAATGGTGGCCCTAGCAGAAGTGGGTGAGATCGGAGCTCAACCAAATCTAAGGCTCCCTCCTCAGGCAGCAACAGTGTTGCGTCAAACAACAATGACAGGGGGAGAAAGCCTCTTTCAGGATGCCGTCATTACGGTGTGCCACATTGGAACAATGAGTTCCCACATGCATAGATGAATGCCCATTAGGCTTGTGATGATGGGACTGATGACGACTCAGACAATACAGACCAGTCTGAACCAGTAGGTGCCTTCAATGCAATTGTTGGCTCCATTTCTGAGGCATTAGCGGAGACCAGTGCTGGTATCCGTAAGAAAAAGGACCCATGTCCTGTCACCAAAAAAGGGAAAAAGAAGTTGGATAAGGAGACTCCTCTTAAACAAGAGAGGACCTTAATGTTCGTGGAGATGAAGGTGAATGGCAAGCCCATTCGGGATATGATAGACACGGGGGCTACCCACAACTACTTAGCCTCGACTCAGGTGGAGTGCCTTGGCCTAGTTGTAGGGAAAGGTAGAGGTAGTGTCAAGGATATCAACTCACCTCCCCAGCCAGTGGGTGGAATAGCCAAAGAAGTACCGGTGAAGCTTGGCCCTTACGAAGGAAAATTCAACCTGCGAGTGGTGATCATATATGACTTTGAGTTGATAGTTGGGTTGGAATTCCTAAGGCAAACCAACATCATGCCTGTACCATTTGTAGACATTCTACTAATGATGGTAACCAATAGGGCCAAGCCCTGTATTATCCCGTGCATGCCCATGAAGATAGCCGTTGAGAACATCTCGGCCTTGCAGTTGAAGAAGGGGGTCAAAAGGAATGAACCTACGTTCTTGGCAACCCTCTACATTGAAGATATAGAACGCTCCTCGGGTCCCATTCCTGAACCTATGAAGGAGTTACTACTAGAGTTTGAAGATGTCATGCCACAAGACATGCCAAAGCGGCTCCCCCCTAGGCGCACCGTGGACCATGAAATTGAGTTGGTACCGGGCGCGTAGCCACTTGCCCGGGCTCCTAACAGAATGTCACAACCCGAACTCACCAAGCTTCGGAGAAAATTGACGGAAATGCTAGATACAGGGATCATTGTACCCTCTAAGTCCCCATACATGTCCCCTATTCTATTCCAAAAGAAACATGATGGCAGCCTGCAACTCTGTATGGATAGCTCTAAACACAATCACCGTAAAGAACAAGTACCTTATTCCTCTAATGGCGGACTTGTTTGATAGACTGGGTGGTGTGACGGTGTTCACCAAGATAGACCTCAAGACAGGTTACTAGCAAGTTTGGATCGCAGAGGGTGATGAACAAAGACTAACTGTGTGACAAGATATGGGTTGTACGACTTCCTGGTCATGTCGTTCGGCTTGACCAACACCCCAGCTACATTTTGCACTCTGATGAACCAAGTCTTCCGAGAGTACATTGACGAATTCATGGTGGTCTACTTGGATGACATTGTAGTATATAGCCAAACATTGGAAGAACACCTAGTGCACTTGCGGAAGGTCCTAGCTCGTTTGCGGGAGCATGAATTATATGTGAAGCTATCCAAGTGCTCCTTTGCTCAAAAGCAAATTGACTTCCTCTGACATGTCATCAAGGAAGGAAGGATCAAGATGGACCAACAGAAGATTCAAGCAATCACAGATTGGCCGCCGCCTAAGGATGTCCATGCCTTGAGGGCGTTCCTTGACCTATGCAACTTCTACCAGCGATTTGTGAAAAACTACTCCCTCATCGCGGTGCCCTTGACAAAACACCTCAAGAAGGTCACACCCTGGGATTGGGGACCGAGGGGAGCGGAGGCCTTCAACGCATTAAAAATGGCTATGTCTAGTAGTCCCTGTCTTGGCCCTCCCTGATTTGGCCAAGCCATTCGAGGTCCAAACGGATGCATCCGACTATTCCCTCGGCGGTGTCTTGCTACAAGAAGGGCATACTATAGCGTACGAGAGTCAGAATCTGAAGGATGCAGAGCAACGCTATGTCGCCCATGAGAAAGAATTATTGGTTGTCATCCACTTCTTACGCCTTTGGAGGCACTATCTTGTGGGGACCCCGTTCGTGGTCAAGACAGACAACAAGGCAGTTAGCCATTTCATGACCCAGCCAAAGCTAAATGGTCGACAGGCCAGGTGGCAGGAACTTCTAGCTGGATTCCACTTCAACCTGGAGTACCAAAGTGGGAACACCAATCATGTTGCTGATGTGCTCAGCCGGAGGGCTGATCTAGCATCGGTGTGCCTACTTGCCACCCTAAGGGGGAGCGAAGTAGCCACCTGCATCAAGGACCAGATACAGGATCTACTCACCAAGGATCCTGCTACACAGTATTTGGTTGATTTAGTAGGACAGGGCAAAACTCGTCAGTTCTACATAGAAGATGGTTTTCTAAAAGTGAAAGGGAACCGACTTTATGTTCCTAAAGGAGGAGATCTGTGAAGGACTCTTCTGGCGGAATGTCATGATACTCTATGGGCATGCCATCCTGATGAAGAACGCACAATGGCATTACTTCGCCGTGCATATTATTGGCCTCAAATGTCCGATGATGTCACTCAGTATATGAAGACTTGTCTAGTATGCTAGAAAGACAAGTCAGACCGCTTGACACAAGCGGGACTCTTGGAACCACTAGTTGTCCCAAAAAGACCTTGGGAAAGAGTATCCCTGGACTTCATTAAGGGATTGCCCAAGGTCGGAGATATCACAACTATTATGGTTGTGGTGGATCGATTTTCCAAGTATGCTACCTTTATTGCAGCCCCACAATATATATCAGCAGAAGATACAGATCGACTCTTCTTCTCTCATGTCGTTAAATATTGGGGCCTTCCCAATGACATTGTCAGTGATTGAGACTCACACTTCACTAGCAACTTTTGGACCCAACTCTTTAAGTGCTTGGGTCAAAATTGAGTCACAACTCAAGTTTTCATCCACAATCTGATGGCTAAAAGGAGCGCTTCAATGGTATGTTGGAGGAATATCTCCGCCACTTTGTAACTAGATCGCAGATNATTGCTGCCCCACAATATATATCAGCAGAAGATACAGCTCGACTCTTCTTCTCTCATGTCGTCAAATATTGGGGCCTACCCAAAGATATTGTTAGTGATCGTGACTCACGCTTCACTAGCAACTTTTGGACCCAACTCTTTAAGTGTCTTGGGTCGAAGCTGAATCACAGCTCAAGTTTTCATCCGCAATCTGATGGCCAGACGGAGCGGTTCAATGGTATGTTGGAGGAATATTTGCGTCATTTTGTAACCGGATCGCAGAAGAATTGGGTGAAGCTTCTGGATGCTGCTCAACTGTGTTTCAATTCACAAAAGAGCTCTAGTACAAACAAAAGCGCTTTTGAAATTGTTACCGGACAACAACCGCTACTCCCACACATAGTGAATGCACCAAACATGTCTAAATCTCCTTGAGTTGCTAGCTTCTCAAAAGAATGGAAGCGAAATTTGGAGATAGTGCAGAGCTATCTTGTCAAAGCTCAAAAGCGGATGAAGAGGCATGCTGATCAGAATCATCGCTTTGTTGAATACCAAGTAGGAGACAAAGTGATGGTCAAAATCTCAAAGCGGTACTTATTTGCAGGGGGTCCATCACCCTCACCTATTGCAAAAATACATTGGACCCTTGTCCATTGAAAGGCGCATTGGGAAAGTTGCATATCGGGTGGATACCCCAGCTTGGTGGAAAATTCATCATGTCTTCCATATCAGTCTCCTGAAACCTTTTCGGCTTCACGGAGCCAGCTCACAATACCCAGTATTCGAGGTCCCAATTCAACTAGGGAAAGGCGTGTTGAAGCTATCCTTGATGATAGAGTGATTCATGCCTCAAGGAAAGATCACCAAGAGTTCTTGGTGAAATGACAGGGTTGTGATGCAAAGGAGAATATGTGGGAGAGGGGAACAAACCTCAAAGCGTACAAGAACCTAATTGAAGATTATATTGCAAGTAAGGCGCCGAGGATGTCGCCAACCCAGGTGGGGGAGAATGTCATGGGCAGCATTCCAGCCATGCCCCATGACCCCTTGGGCACGCCCCGTGGCGTCCTAGCAAACCTCCCAATGCCTAGCGCCACAGACGACCCTGTGGTCTTGGCCACGCCAAGTGACAAGCGCGCAGGTGCCTCTGTCGCCCCACCGATATCCCTCGTCAACGCCCAGCCGCAGGCAGATGCCAACAGCACCGCACGCGCAGACAATGGCACGCGTACCGACCGTGATGCCAAAGATGCTGCTGCTGACAACGGACCTGTTTCTGCCTTGTAGGAAACTAAGTCCTTTTCATTGTAGATATAGAGTAGTTTTATTTCATGTACTTCCATTATGTTTCTCTAGCTTAATCAAGTCTAGTCGTGTAGCTTTGGTTATTTTTTTAAGCATTATTAGGGGGGATCAACCAATCAAACTTTCTATCAAGCAAACAATTCTCTGTACTGGTGTCTCTCCCCCTCGACATCGCGTTGCTTTTATGTAATAGCTTTCATTAATGCAATCAAGCTTTCTTTCATTCTCAATTCTCATTTCTGTTCTCTCAATTGCTCTTGACATTGGTTTTCTCATACGGCACTGACAATCTAGTCTAGCGTACGGAGGGGATCTTAGTTGGCGGACAGTAACTGCACTGACATCAGTTGCTTAGCCTTACGTCGCCCTTCCAAGGAATCTCAAGAAGGTGTTGCGTAACATTTCTAACGACTGTATCTTTCGTCATCTGCTCGATCACAATGCTTGTTCTGTGATGTACGCTTTCCGACAATTTGACCCCGGCGATGGCCGAGGTGTTATTTGCTATCTCGCCCCGTGGGCATCATTACAGCTTGATCGATCCCTTATCATTCCTTTTAAGGATGATCATTCTAGTGAGATTTTGACCCATACAATAAAGAAACAAACTTGTTTCCCTTGAATTGTGATTACTGATTTTTTGAATTTTTTTAGTAAAAGGGTGTTGTATAAACGAGGGTTGAGAACGTAAAAATTAGGTAACAAAAAACTACACGACTGACGTCTCAAAAGAAAAAAACTGGACGTTTTTATTATTTGAGATAACGATAGAGGAGGGGGGAAGTGAAATATGCCACTATTCGATAAGCATTTCAGAGTCATACTATCTTCCTCTCGTGCCATTCATACAAAAGTGCCACGCAATTTATCACACACCTCACAATACATTTTTGAAGTGGGTCCTATAAACTAGTCAGAGGCTAAATTAAAATTTTAATTTTATGGATTTTAAGTTTTAGTAACCCTTCGGGGTTGCCCAGTTGGGAGGGTGATAATTTATACGGATGGTTTGGGATTAATCCCCTTAATACTTTTTGAGTAGAATCTGTCATGTAGGATTTGTCTAATGCAGTTTATATTTTTGTATGATTTGCAGACTATTACACAGACAGAGATTTTCTCATTGCGCACACTCAGAGGGCATAACATGTAATAGAGGTTGTAGCAGCTGCGGGTTTCCTCTCTTACTAAAAAAAAGTTTAGTAAGACGATTTAACGTGTTAATAGGACTGTCAAATTTGGCCCAAGCCCAAATAACCCGTCCAACTCGTTCAAGGTTGGACTCATTATTGGCACGCCCATTTATTGAACTCAACTCATCTTGATACAATCCATCTCAATCCATTTAAAGCTGAATTGATTTTTAATCCAAATCGATGCAAGAGTAATTTTGCTAGAATATCTAGAAATAAATTTATTTGTTTGTTTTATATGACCATAACAAAAGAGAACATGTCTTATTTAGTAATTATACAATTCATAAGAAAATAACATATATTAACTAAAGATTGATAAGAGTTGGGCGAGTTGGGCTCTGACCCAAATTTTAGTTCATTTTGACCCAGCCCATCTTAATCCAAGTAACTAACTCGTCCAATTGTTAACTCAATCCGTTTTAACCCTCCAAAATCGATCTAACCCGCCAATTTGATACCCCTACGTATTAATTATTACATTATTAATAAACGTACTTACTTAATGAACATTTTAAGCCCAATATGAAGTTCTAAATCTTCTCCTGTATACATTTCGATTTTTTTGGCATCTTGGGGCGTAAAGTATCCTATATCCATTCAGAATTCGATAAAAGACTACAATTCAAGGGGTTGACGTAGAAAGCTATTCTAATATAAGTATTAGTGGTTGTTTTACGAGACGATAACATATAAAATAAAGACAATCTTATTGTTGCTCGAAGATTTCCTTTTATACAGCTCGAATTATCTCAATAAAATATTCAAAAAGCGTAATGTTATGGCATTTGTTGCATGCACTAACGTAGCCACCTGCTACCACGGACACCTGACTCTGCTTTGTGTTGTATTTATCCCTCCGAATATTTTCAACTGCTGCTGTTTCCTTCTTATAGCCAAAGAACGGATAAAGCTTGCCTTTGGCTTGTTTGGTCTCTTTTCCTCCTAGGGCCCTAAAAAAATTAAAAGCTTTCAAATAGACCCTCAAACTTTATAAGCAGAATTGAGAGTTGAAAATATTAATGTCGATCAAGAAGTGTTAAGATTGAGGTTCTTGGGTGAGATATTTGTCATTTGAATTGAATCTCGACGCTTAAGTTTTCCCCCAGCAAACAAAGAATTAATAGCTCTTCGAGGAATTATATGAATCACCTTATATAACTTTGATTGGTTCTATGTATTATGTTTCAACTATTTATATAAAGTCAAGTCATTAATCAATCCGTTATTTTTAAAACTATAGATTAATGTCTTTAATCGTATAATGCATACTTCTTGCTCTAACATGTAAAAGGTCTCGTTTTCTTGCACATATTCCACGTGTAACTAATAGCTCATATATTTACTAACCAAATATTTGATAACTGCAAAAGATTTAAACTCACACAAAATTCAAAATCTGATTCATAAGATTACAAGTTATCATGATGTCTTGTAAATAATTTGCAAAAAATACATCAAAATTATAGTATGTGTAATAGCATTTATAAATAGCTTAACGTGATGTGCATAAAAATTTGATACAAACGATAAAATATATCGTTACTCAAATATCGACTAAGTTCATATGAATAAACACTTAACTACAGATGAATATCGTCTTTATACTTCAAAAAGAAATTTTGGATAAGGACTGCATTAAATCCTAAATGAGAAATTAAAGTTGATGAGTTTCACTTACACAGTGGTCGTTAATTAATAGAGAGGTCTATGTATCACAAAATTTAGTTGCATCATTAAATTAGTAAAGGTCCAAAGGGCCAAAAACTAATAATGTTATGGGTCAAACAAAAGTTTCTTAAAAATTGAGGGACTTAATGACGTGGGATAGATGAAGTAAAAATACAAATGGCAACATTCTCCGAAACGGTTCGTTANCCCAACCCCTACTATACAATTTATACTTGCCCAGTACTCTGAGTCTGTCACCATTATTTTCGTCGCTTTTTCTGCAAAAAATATCCTCTCTCAGAAAATCCATTTCCCACGTTCACTGAGTTCCCTTAATTTTATCTGCAAAAATTTGAACCCAAATCAGAGTTTAAAAACAAAGTAGTTCTGGTTTTGAACATTAGAGATGGAACAGGAGAAAATGGTAACAGATGATGTCATCAATGGCGGACTACAAACAGTGAAAGAAGAGCCAGTACTATTTCTTGATGAAGAAGATGACATTATTAGCTCACTACTGCCAAAGCCATTGGAGGGGTTACGTGATATGGGTCCACCACCATTTTTGAAGAAAACATTTGAATTGGTGGATGATCCTAATACTGACTCTATAATCTCTTGGAGTAATACCAAAACCAGCTTTGTTGTTTGGGATCCTCATAAGTTCTCTATCGATCTTTTGCCTAAACATTTTAAGCATAATAACTTCTCTAGCTTCATTCGCCAGCTTAATACCTACGTAAGTTTCCCAATTATATGTTACTTTGTTTTCTGTTACAATTTACAATTAGCTGGGAAATGAACACTTATCCTTGGCCTTATATGTAATTGCTGCTGCTAATTTTTTTTTATTTCTTATATGGTGAGTTCAGAATTGAAAGTTAAATTAAGTGTTTCTTAAGGAATTTTCAAATTTCTTTAGTGAAGTAGTGATTGAGTGCTCCTGTTGTTGGTTAAGTTTTAAACTCTATGTACTCATAGCATATGATATATTTATACAATCAGGTCACTTATGGTTGTTATAGTTTTTTGATAAGCACTAATTGGTAATTTGATAAAAATGGTAGTTGAGCTGTTATTATATGTTAAATTTCACTGATAGTGGAAAAAGTCGTCAGTACAAGCATTAATAGGTAATTTGATAAAAATGGTAATTGAGCTGCTATCGCATGGTAATGCACTTGCATGTTAAAGTATATGAAGATGAGCCTTGGAGCAAGTTGTCTCCATGCGACCTAAGCTCACTGTTCGAGCCGTGAAGCAGCCATTAATTCTTGCATTAGGTTGGTGTAGGCTGCCTGCATCATCCAATCCTTTGGCTGCGGTCCTTTCCTGGACCCTGCAATCACACAGCATGCCTTGTGCACGGGGTCGCCCTCTTTTTTTTTTCTTCATGTTAAAAGTATATAAAAACATAAACCCAATTTTATTTGATTATGGTTTATTGGGTTTTAAGTATATTTTTTTGTGGGGGTTGTAGCGTTTCAGGAAGNTATTTTTTTGTGGGGTTTGTAGCGTTTCAGGAAGATTGATTCAGACAGATGGGAATTTGCAAATGAGGGATTTCAGAAAGGGAAGAAGCATTTGCTGATAAATATAAAGAGGAGAAAGCAGCAGTATACTCATCAAGGATCAGGATCAGCACAATCATGGCTTGGTTCTTGCAATAAGGATGGGATTGAGGCTGAATTAGAGAAGCTGAAAAAGGATCAAAACACATTGAAAATGGAAGTCCAGAGTCTAAAACAACAACAAGAGAGCACAGAAAGCTACTTAGCTACTGTTAAAGAGAGGTTACAGAATAGTGAGACTAGGCAAAAGTATATGGTTATCTTTATGGCAAAAGCATTCAAGAATCCTCTCTTTGTTCAACATTTGATTGAGAAGATTAAACAGAGGAAGACTTTAGACAATGGTACTGTTACAAAAAAGAGGAGATTGGCTAATACTCAATGTGATGGACAGAGTCTTCAAGTTCAAGAGGAATTCACAACAATTAAGCCTGAAATACAAACACTGTTCTCCTCTGATGAATCAAACAGTCCTGCGGACGAACAGAAAAGGAATAGCCAAGACATGTCATCTGAGAATTATATATTGTGGGAGAAGCTAATGGAAGATGATATGATATATGAGAATGGAGCAGAAAATGATAAACATCACAGTGATATTGTTCTTGAACTCGAGGATTTGATTGCAAGTTAGAGAGTTTGTTGAGCAAGTTAGCTGTCCTGGTTCAGCACTAAAAGATAATTGGTATAGCTCTGCTTTCATTGTTGTTGCATTTTTTGTTCTGGCTTTTCGATAATGCTGTGACTGTTTTTCTTGGGTCGAGGATATATCAGAAACAATATCTCTACCTTTACAAGGCTAGAGGTACGGCTGTGTACATACTGTCTTCCCCAAACCCTAATTGTGGAATTACACTGGATCTGTTGTTGTTGTTGTTGTTAGATTTTTATTCTGGGAGTAAACTATTGTCATGTGCACTGTAAAACTCATAGTTGTACCTTTTTCATGTTGTAGGAGGGCAAATAAGGAAGCAGCTTTTTTGAAGAGATGTTTAATTCTCTTTCAACTGCACAGGAGCCAAAATCAAGAAAGTGGGATGGTGTTTAGATTATGTGTTTATTGTCAGTCTTTATCAGTTAGTGACTAACAATGTACAAAGTTTATATAGCAAAAATAGAAGATGCAAACATTAAGGTGGTTTTTGTTGTTCTTAGGTGGTTGTTTAGTAGGTGCACAGGAGATGTAGGCTTGTTAACCATATTGCTCTGTTCTACTCTGCTTTTAACATTAATGCTGTTTCTCAGCTTTGATGTTTAAAATGGTTGCCTCATGAATCCGAATGAAAAGGGTTGGTCTCTAAGCAGTGGCGGAGTTAGGTGGGCGGAAGGGGTTAAGCTGAGTCTCTTTTGTCAAAAATTACATTGTGTATCATATATATTAGATGTTAAATTTCCTTAGTTTCTTTACGTGTTTACTTTTTTTAATTTTTTGAATGAAAATTCTGCTTCCGTCACTGTGTTCTTTGACAATATAACGTCGCTCAAGTTAGGTACATATTTTTCTCATTTTCTCACATAAGTAAGAAATTAATTTGCCTATATAGAAACAAATTATATATTAGAAGCAGGGGCGGACGCAAATGGATGGAAGCGGTATTATCCGATAGTGCATCGCCGGAAAAAAATACTATTGTTTATACTAATATTCTGTAGACACGAGACAATATACAGTAATGACATTGTTTCTTAGCTGACATTGTTTCTTAGCAAAGACTATTTTCTGATCCACTGGTCAAGCTCATATTTGAGTTTGTAAAGGTTGTAGGTTCGAGGCTAGCCCTAAATGTTTTATTTTTTGAACATTTTTTAGCAGAGTATTTTTGTTAAAAATTTGAGGCTAAGAAAAATTGAATCTATAGGTGTCAAACAGGCCGGGTTGATACGGGACCGCCCCGCCCCGCCCCAGACCGGTTGAAACCCCAACCGGCCCGGTACTTAGGGGTCGGGTGGGTTGGGTTACTGAGGTTAGGAGAGTTGGTCTGTTCACTTTAATTTATCCGGTTAATCGGATCGGTCAAACTCGGTCAACCAAAATTCCTGTAGAATCGATTAACCGGCCCGATCCGGACCGGTTTAAAGGCTAGATTTCAATTTTTTTAAAGTTTTAGAGTCTAAGGCAATGCAAAACCTTTGAATTTACTCTTTTTCGTTAATTTACTTGTTGTTAAATGTAAATCTTCAATTTGGAAGTTTGAATCTTGAAATAAATGTAGCACTTGCAATTTCTAAGTGCAATTTTTTTCTCATCTTCATTGTATTCTTTATATATTTACTTTATATTAATATAATTACAAAAGTTATACAAAATACATAAAAAACAAAAAAAAGAAAAACTAACCTGACCCGGCCCGGTCCCTTGGACCCGTAACCGGTACGGTTCATTTTTATCCGGATGAACCCGAACCCGTTAAGTCCGGTAACCCCTAACTCGTAACCGGCCCGGTTCGAAACCCGAACGGTTTCAACTTTTCCCTACCCAACCCGGTCCGGCCCACCCGTTAGACACCCTTAATTGAACCTATACCTCCCTTTGCAATAATATTCAACTAAATTATTGGGTCTAAGGCTTTTAACTTGTAAGATAATATTTATATAAATACGATATAGCTTAAAAAAAAGGTTTTGCTACGCCCTGGTTAGGAGGTTATGATGCATGTAGTAGATTTTGTTATTATAATGCGTATTCCAATCAAAATTTGAAGCGATATGTATTTTGAATTAGAAGTAACTTCGAGAATAATGATCGAAGTAAGTAGAGCAGACAAGATAGATGGATGTTCCCCAACTTTTGACAAATGTGGATAATCTGCAATCCTATCTTTTTGGCTTTTCCAGAATGGTATAATTGTATTGTATGGACCTAAAACGCAGTCAGTTATTTACTGGAAACTTCAGCCAAAATCTTAGATGAAGGTGCAAACTAGAGCCACATAATCAACATTTATTAGTCACAATAAAATAATAATAATTGCCACATATCTTATCTATTAGTACTACTAACTGGTAGCCCATAAAAGTAACTATTAGCATCTAATTATTGATCATGGCTTGCAATATTTTTTTATTTAAAAAATGTATAGAAAGTCGAACATTAAGGTTGTAGGTTAGGGGGAAGTTGTGAATATTTCTACAACGCACTAGAGTGAGATTAGACAGTTAGAAGTTAGTTTTAGGATTCTAGTGGTCATCTACTGATGCATGGCTTTAGCTGCTGGTTATTATTATACCTTCCATCTAATACGTATTTCTTATATTGCTGTTATTTTATTATAATTCTACGGATGGTACTAATATATCGTCTCTTGTTGCTTTCTTGAGCCGAGGGTCTCCTGGAAACAACCTCTCTGCCCCTCGGGATAGGAGTAAGGTCTGCGTACATATTACCCTCCCCAGACCCCACTTGTGGGATTATACTGGGTCGTTGTTGTTATTGTTAAAAAGTGTATGGAGTAGGTCGTATATTGGTGCGGCGACCTGTTGAAATTTTTGGAAAAATTTAAAAAATTAAAAAATTATTAGGCTTCCTACTGCCAAAAGGAGCAAGTTAATGACGCATCCTAATTACTCCATTAATGAAAGAATTACAAGAAAATACACTTTGCTTTACACCATAACAAAAAATGGTCCATATTTTTATGTTTTACCCGATCTAACCCATATTGTATATATTTTGAAAGCACTAGCAAATTTAAAATTTGTTTTCTTACAACCATTGCTTCTAAAAACTATGGAGTTAAATCTATGTTCTCACAAACATTGTTTTCACTCTCTTTTCTTCTCACATCTTCTACATATGCTTCAAGGGCAGTCCGCCATTACTGCTTCTCCCATGTCTCACCTGGTTGTAACATAAGAAAATTGAAGATTCAACATTCCACCATTGAAGGCCATTCAAAGCTTGCCTTTCAAAAATAAGATTTTTTAAGTTTGTTAGTTGTTTGGATTGAGTGTTGTTCCAATTGATTGAAAATATCAAAAAGAGTTCAAAATTTAAATTTAAACTGATTTGGAGTAGATTTGAGTTAAATTTTAGAAAAAACGCAAGGAAGAAGACGAAGTCAGTTTTTTGTATAATTATGTATAATCTTGTATAATAGTGTATATGAGTGTATAAACACATCTTATACACTATTATACAACTTTATACAAGCGTCTGTGGACGAACTTCTTTCACGATTTTTAGTTGCAATTCTTGTTCAAAATCAGTCCAAATCTTCATTAAATGACTTCAAATTTTATATACAACCTCCTTCTACTATTTCTAACAATTTTAGATAATACCCACTCCAAATTTCTCACAAAATCAAATTCGGAATCTAAACACACATATTTAAGCTTGTTAAAAATCTAATTTTCACCATCCAAATGGATTTGGTTTGTTGAACTAATATTTGGGTTACAATTACTGATTCGAAAATTAACTTAAAAGCTTGAGAAATCTTTTTTAAAAATTAGATAGTAATTTGGAGGACCTATTGGAGTTGGATGTTGAATCTTAGCCTATTATTTTTGGGTTAGTTGGTTGTAAATTGAAATATGAGCTATAAAATTAAAAAGTAGAGATCCCAGTTGTTCATATGCGAAATTTTCCCATTATTATTAATCATGGCGTTTATTTTTATTTTTTTTAGCAAAAAACAGGGTTCGGAGTGGTCGCTAATTGGGAAGGCGACCTGTTGAAATTTTTGAAAAATTGAAGAAATAAAAATAAAATAGGGGCCTACTGCCAAAAGGAGCGATTTATTCATCATGTGAATTATTTTCAGAAAAAGATAATTTTTGAAGTAGTCGCCTATTGAAAAAGCGACCTGCTGAATTTTTTTTGAAAGGGTTTAACAATATTAAAAAAATTAATAAGGGCGCCAAAAGTAGCAAGTTGCATCTAATTATTAATCATGGACTTTCCAGATACTATCTTCTTTCCCCAAAGAAAAGGCAAAATCTTAACCTTGTTATAAATATATTATATTGTGGATGTTTATTTAGTATTTCGTTGTAAATAAGTTTCCTGAAGAAGCTTATTCATATGGGACTCCACCGTAAATATGTTTATCTATTTAAGTACTCTATTGGAAATAAGCTTCCTGAAGAAGCTTATCTCTTCGATACCCGATTATGGATAAAATTACCCCGGTAGAAGATTATCCATACCGGGTATAATAAGCTTATCTTTTCAATACTCCATTATGGATAAACATTACTCTCAGTAGAAGATTATCCATATCTGGTATAGTAGTAGCTTACACAGCAGCTTCCTTTCTTCTATAAATAGAAGAGATTTCAGTTCATTATGTACATCAATTTGAATTCGAATAATATATCAGTTTCTCTCTATATCTGTCTTTACTTTATAGTCTTTATTTTATAACAAACCTCCTTTTTTCCTTGTAATTTTTACCTGATTGCTCCCTTTTAAAAAACTATGATAGTAATTTTAGTGTATTTCAAAACCGTGGCACATTCTTTTACTTTTTTAGCACTTTCATGTTGGTAACTCATTAACTAAGGGACCCCTCTACATCAATACACTTTCATTACATTTCTTTTTTCCTCTCTCTTCCATAATTTTTTCTTCTCTTCCATAAATAACACTTACCCAAATATATGAAAGATTCTGAAAAAAATATATCTAAAAAATAATCACTTCTTTAACGAGGTTGCACAATGGAAATTTTACTTTTTTTCTTTCTTTAGGTTGTAAGGTTTCTAATTGTTTGGACATTTAGATCTACTAGTATATAGGTACGCGCGTTGCGCATGTACCACAATTTAATGAATAAAACTTTTTTAAAATTTTGCATAAATATTATATGAAAATTTGTGCTTGAGTAATAAAAGAAAAGTATATTTTCATGAAAAAGATAAATATTGATCTTATATAGCTAACTCAATAAAGAAAATTAACATATAAAAGTCCTTAATTATCTGTTGATATGTTCAACTTAGAATTTATTTTGGTTTCATAATGTTATCACTTTAATTTCATAGGTCATTATGCTTCCTTTTCAGTTTCAACCAGAATACGCAATCCTTGAAGATTTAAGAGGGAAAAAATTTAAAGTATGTTTTGAAGTATTAGCTTAGAAGAAGCTTGCTTGAGTATCTGACATTACCAAAAAAAATAATTATTAGTCTAAAATAAATATTTACTATCCGAAAAATTTATTTACCATCACTATTTAAGATTCTTTTTTTGTAAACTAAAATAACTCTCTATAGTAGCTTCACGGAGAAAACTATTGTCACCTGAAAAACAAAAGCTTATTTAAAGAAGAAAGAAAACAAGAAGGGTTGAAAAAAATGTTCAACGTGAAATAAAATAAATATGTTGATTTTTCTATCTTAATAATTTCTTTGAATATAGATCAATTCATAGTAAGTTTGATTTAATAAAATTT